CTAAAATAAACCTATAACTTTTTGTGGTGTTTGGAGTCCCACCTTCATGTTGTGTGGGCTTGCATGCTTACTGTCCACACCTGTTACAGATTTGGTGTAATTGCCTCTATTTTGTGTTGACCTGTGTCTGATGAAGACACCACTGGTGTTAAAATGTTGGTTTTGCTTGTAAATTACACCGTTGGAAACTCACTGAGCTCCAACTCTGTTTCTATATTTTAATTCTCCTCTTTCTACCGTGAGGTACCTGGAAGACAGATGCAGGACGATGCACACAGTCAGTGTGCTTACACGTGCATCAGAAAACCAAAATGTTGCCCTAAAAAGACTGACGTTGGTTTTTAAATGCACGTAAACGTGTTAGTCTTGCTGAAGACGAGCTGGTTCTAATCATACTGGAGCACCCAGATGATCATTTAATTGGTGTATGAATTTCGAGTTCCGTTGCTCTTCCGTGACAGCGGGTTGTGTGTGTGTGTGTGTGTGTGTGTGTGTGTGTGTGTGTGTGTGTGTGTGTGTGTGTGTGTGTGTGTGTGTGTGTGTGTGTGTGTGTGTGTGCGTATGAAGCAGACGGTCCTTTCCGTTACTTGTCCGAGACAGCGGGGGGTGGGAGTATGGTGCGTGCACGTGCACTCGATCCGCTGCTGTTTCTCACCAGTATCAGCTGATGGAGGGCCCTACTTTTGTTTCCCTGCCGTGCGACATTCGTGTCAGCGGACACGGTGGGGTCGGGGAGGGGCATGACGCTTAGCTTGGCGGGTGACCAAGCCTTATAAAGCGCTGGGGGAAACCCTGGGTCCAGCATAATAATAGCAATGTGTTGCTAATAAAGTGGCCAGTGAGGGGGAAAAAAGACCAACAAACTGGCTTTGAACTCTGGATGATTCAGTCCGGTTTACAGAATAAGACAAAGTAATATGAGAGCATTCATTATTTACGTTGAGGGGTTGTGAAAAGATTAAAAATCATTCTGTTTCTTCTCTTGAATGACCCACTTCACCTCACACACTCCTACATTTCTGTGTAAGAGTAATTGGGTGTTCTAAACAAACCCAGCGATAAGCCTTGTCGCGGACAAATTGCATTTTTTCACCTTTTTGAACCCCAACACGGTGCCACCAGTTCACCTGGTGGAGAAAAGTTGGAAGAAAAGGAAAAACAAAATTGTATTTTTTATATGACTTAAGTGAAAGTCAGACTGTTTACTTTTCAGCCTTGCTTAACAAGTCAGCATCCAATCAAGATAAAAGGAAAACAAGAAAATGAACCCAGACCTTGTTAATTTAGTTTATTATCTCAGGCTCAGAGCGTTGCTGCAGGCTTTAAGATGCTGTAACCAGAGACTGCCCCATTACCAGGCAGCATTATGAATAATTTTATTTATTTATTTACTTTATCATGGGTCTGATCAGTTTGCAAATGTATTAGTTCACATAATATAATATAATTTACTTAATTGTATCAATACACGACGGATGTTTATCCAAACATTTTACAGAATTTGTCTGTTTATCATTTTGGTTCTTTTTCTAGACATTAATGCATTTGAATGAAACCCTAATGTGCATCCTCGCTGGACATTTGGTCTCTCTCAGCAGCTCTTCTCTGCTCTTATAGCAGCTCTGTCTGTCCGTAATGTGATCAGACGCCAGTAAAAGGTTTAATTAGTTGGTGTCTACGTACATTCTAAACTAATGTCTGAACGTTCCCAACATCATTATTGGATTCCCATCATAAACAGGCTGGATGTTGGGCATTTGTGTGGTACAAATTCAAGTGTGATAAAAGTACAAATCACCACTAAATTCATTACCACCTTCTGATTTAAATTTGTAAGCAGTCTCTTTAAAATGTCAACCAACTAAACGATGTTAAATTGTTGACATTTTAATCCTGACCAAATGAATCCCTGTTGTGATTTATATATGTAATCCCTCCAGTAAATTCTGGGTTATCTCCCAGTGGGATTAGTCTTGAAAAGCTGTACAGCAGGGGTCATGATCTCTGATCCCCGAGGACCTTAAACCAGCATGTTTTTGTCATTTTCCTGCTCCAACACTCTTGATTCAATGGTTGAGTCACTTGTTCTGCCTGTTGGTCACCTGCTGATTAAAGTCAGGTGTGTTTAAGCAGGGAAACAACTGAAACATGCTGGATTGCCACACTTCTGATCCAACTCCCCTGTAGAGGGAGGTGATCAGAAGGCATCTGAACTACCACAGCTGACTTTGATGACAAGAGCATCAGCTGGAACTTACCCCTCCTCTTAATCTGAGCCCAACCCCCCTACAGGGTATCTGCGGGTCCTTAAAAAGTCTTAAAAAGTCTTAAATTTGCTTTTCAAAATTTATGGCCTTAAAAATGACAAATAATCCTTAAATACAGTTTCCAAAGGTCTTTAATTACCAAAGGCCCACTAAACAAGATTCTTTTATTTCTATAAAAATTTTGTGAATTTCTAGTCAGTGTTCAGGATTTTTTGTGTATGATGTTGGCGTAAGCGGAACCGTACACATTCAGTTGGTTGTGAAAGGGGGCCATTTTTAGATGAGCACATTAGCTGGTTAAGCTAGGGGGAGCTTGCGCCATGGAGGTTTAATGGCAACTGGATGGCTAATCCCACGTTTGCGATGTGGTTAGCACCGGTTCCAGGCAATAGCTGGAAATTAAAGCTTAAATTTAATATTGAAAATAGCTTAAATTTGGTCAAAGTGGCCTTATAAAGTTCTTAAAAAGTCTTAAATTTGGCTCCCTTAAACCTGAAGATACCCTGCCCTAGGGAGGATTCTCCGTTGAGTCTCTCATAGGTGAGAGTTAGAAGGACCCAGTAAATCTAGAGCTTTACCTTTTGGTTGGACTCTTTCTTCCCTGCAATGACCTCAGACATATCCCCCCATCCACCCTACCAGTGAAAAAGGTAGCAGAGTATCCCACAAAACAATATTTTACTACGGTTTGGAGTTTCATCCACACGAAAGTGGAGAAGCACGGCACCAAAAGCAATTATTTCGAAAACCTCCAACCAAGTTAGAGCTTTGCTAATTACACATTGTTAGAATTAGCTTGTGGACGTAAATAGCAAGGCTTTATGTTTCGTGACATCACTGCTCATGACGAAAGTGCTCCGACGTCCCAAATGTGCCCTGTGGTTGCACTCACTTGTGTTTACAAGCTCAGCTACTGCTCCGTGTAGAAGACCACAGGTGAAGGACGATGCTTATTGCCCACCACTTGGGTATTTCATGTTTGAAGTATGTTTTCTAGCAAAGACAACAATGATTTGAGGAACTACTGCTCTCTACAGGCCTGGCATACCTTTGTGAGTGTTTCACAATGCAATGGATTTGTTTGCTGAAAACAAGGTGATGTGGACCCAAGTTATATTTCCTAGATATCTGGCTGTGCGTGTACACGACCTGTGGTACTGAAACATGCATGTTGTGTGAATGTTGGTTATTGCATTGCTCAGGCACAAGAAGCTGAAGGTAACTATTTGGCTGAAGCTTTATTAAAAAAAAAAAGGCAATTCAGTCTTAAGTCTGATTTAATGAGTGTGTGGTGGTTTTAATCCCGTTCATATCCAAGTGGCTTTCTGGTTAATCCAACAATCATTACAGCCAGAAGAGTGAATCCATGTTCTGTTCCCAGGTCAGGTCCGTATTTCTGACACAACCCGAAGCGCTTCTTGTCCCACTTATTCACTTTGGATGCAGTTGTTTTCTCTTCCTTGCTCGCCTTCGAGCAAACTGAAAAATTCAAGTCTTAACTGTTTAATCAACAATTAAAGCTTTATGGTAATGCATTTGCCACCAGATTGTTCACACAGAAAAAGCATTGCTTGAGTACGTAGATGAGCCAAACTCGTCTTTGCCCTCTCAGGTTAGAAGAGCTGGATGTTCTTTGTCCAACACTTTCTAGTCTCACACCTCCTAATAGCTGCAGGACGTCTCCGTCTGAGTGGAAGCGCTTCTGTTTATTTCACCTTTTAAAAAAATGTTTTTTTTAATGATCAGGATTTCTCTTTATGTTCCCCTGAACTGCTCCAGTCTGAGGTAACAACACGCAGAAAAAAGACTGATCTCTCTGATGATGGAACATAATAAACCCTCTTTAACTCATTCGCTGCCAGCGTTTCTCACCGTTTTTACTGTTTTTTTTAAGAGTGACACAGCGTTGCCCACTAGGATGATGTCGATGCCAAAACTACCAAAACAAAGCGGAGATTCATCTCTTACATCAGGAAAAATCAGCACGTTTCGAGCGTTATCCGTTCTTTCATAGTCCGTTGTTGAATTGTGATCGACAGAAGCTTTTCCGGTTCATGCCTCACTTTTTTTTTACAGCAGCGGCCCAAAATGATCTCCTAACCCATGGATGTTCTGCTTCCTGATCACGTGACGTATGCGGATGGAGATCGGCTTCAGAGCTGAGGTGTTTGTTCTCACCGTGCGGGGGCTCGTTCCGACGCCCACACAGTAAAAAAACATGCAAATGACGTAATTTGCTGTGAACGGTTGGATCTAAAATGACAGTGAATGAGTTAAAGGTATTCATCACACAAATACAATCCATCGTCATTAGAGTATTAATGCTGGTTTTAAACCCCTGGTGTGAAGAAATTATTCATTTATCTTGGTTTTTTGGGGGGTATTTTTTTTAACAAGTTGTCGCATCTCAAAATAAATTAACTTCATTATTTTTGCCAGCAGCACAAAAAATATTTGACCCTGAAAGCTCCTGATCTTGGTTTTGCTTCAAGGATCATCAATGAAATTACCTAAACAATCATTTTCCTGATCACAGATCATCAGAAGTGGCCCAATCTTGGATAACTGGGAGAAAATGGATGGGTGAACATGATGTTAGCAGCTTTTACTGACAACCATCTGATGGAATGACTTTAAAGAATTATCAAAATGGCCTCAGATCAGATAAATAATCATCAAAATGTATCACAGAGAAAAATTCAAACACTAAAACGTTGTTTCTCTTTGTTACAGCCATCGTGGTCCTCTTCGTCACACTTCGGCGGAGTAAGAAAGAGCCCCTTATCATCGCCGAGGAGGACATCAGAGAAAATGTTGTGACCTATGATGATGAGGGCGGCGGCGAGGAGGACACAGAGGCCTTTGACATAATTGCTCTCCGTAATCCGGCCGCCGCAGAGGAGCTGAAGTTCCGACGGGACATTCGTCCAGAGGCAAGGGGCCACTGTAGCCTTCCCCACAATCACAAGACTCCATCTGTGGAGCTGGATGAGGTGGACGTGCAGGAGTTTATCAGGCAGAGACTGGTGGAGGCCGACATGGACACCAGCGTGCCGCCCTACGACTCCCTCCAGACCTATGCCTATGAGGGTCAGGGCTCATCTACGGGCTCCATCAGTCCATTGGACTCGGTTGCCGCGCCGTCGGAGCAGGAATATAACTACCTGGAGGACTGGGGACCTGAGTTCCGGAGACTAGCAGAACTCTACGAAGACTCAGAGTCAGACGTGACCACCTAGTCTGTGATTTCACTTCTGTTCAAACCAAATCCGATTAAAACTCATTTTTCAATGAATGACGTGAGCACACAGACTGACCAGTTCAGCGGTTCTCAAATGTTACCGTTGAACTAAAAAAAAAAAAAAAAAACGGACCTCTGAATTTTGTTTCTTTTTCATTTTGTCACGTTGGATCATGGATTGTTCATCCGCAAGTGTCAGATTTGAGATGAAAGAAAATTTATGAGGAAAAAATGGAAAATATTTTCCTTGGTGTATATTTTTTATTGCTCAATAAAGTCCTAAAAATTCATTTGCGTGGATACGTGGAGACCGTTTGTACGTTTGTCTTACTCCTCTGAGAACAGATGTAGAGCACAGTGTGCAGCGACAAGGTGGGAGGCAACACCAAAGGTGTTGGTGACTCATGACACAGAGAACGGCGCTGGTGCCGCCATATGCACAGCAATAACACATCCAGTCACAAGAGCTCACAGTGTTTGTGTTTATTTTCTCAGCTTTGAGCTGATCTGTGGAAATCAGCCATTAGCCCCCCTCAAGAAAAAAAAATGTATGGAGATTCAAAAAACTAATTATTTTTATCGGTGCGTGTTTCAGAACAAATCGGATTCACCAAAAATCTTGTAAGTATTAAACTGCTTTGCTTCAAAAACAGCGGATTATGCGTCCAGAGCTACAGAAAATAATAACAAACAGCAACCTTGGTCTTCTCAGGTTTCCTCTCATTTATTTATGTGTAAGCCCCTTCGTATGAGTTGTTGTCTCTGTGTTGGTTTATGAATTTATCCCTGGTGTTCGCAAGGATTAAGCTGAGAGAAATATGTGTTCCCTCGTCGTCGCTAGACGTTCCACTCTAAGGTAATAAAGATGAAAAAAGTGGCATTAATATTCAGCTAATGTTGATGTAAAGTGATGTCTGACTATTTTAAAATCTCCATAGGTTTAATTTCTCTAGTTAACTTTCCAGTTAACTTGTTGGGACGACACGTGCCCTACCAGCTGTTGACCTGCCAGTTATTTTATTTGCTCCCAGCTGTTTCCTGATCGGTAAAGGCCTTCGCTGACAGCGTTTCTCACCGTTTTTACAGTTTTTTTAAGAGTCATAGAACTTTGCGCGCTAGGATGATGTCGACGCCAAAACAACCAAAACAAAGTGGAGACTCACCTCTTACATCAGGAAGAATCTGCGCGTTTCGAGCGTTATCCGTTCTTTCATAATCCGTTGTTGAATTGTGATCGGCAGAAGCTTTTCCTGTTCGCGCCTCACTTTTTTTACAGCAGCGGCCCAAAACGATCTAACACATGGATGTTCTGCTTCCTGATCACGTGACGTGTGACGTATGCGGATGAGGTGTTTGTTCTCACGGCGCGGGGGCTCGTTCCGATGCCCACACTGTAAAAACATGCTAATGACGACTTTAGTTGTCATTGGCAGTGAATGAGTTAAGGGGTATGAGGTGCTCTGGGGTTGAGTTGAGTAACCAAAGACGACACCATTTAAAGGTTTAGCACCTCTTAAAGAGCAAGTCACCCCCAAATCACTTTTTTTTTTTGCTGATAAATTATATAAAGGAGTGTCTAATCATGCTACAGACGTGTAGTCAATAATTTGGCAGTTCAGTGCATCTTGGTTAAAATTCAAATATTCTGCCTAAAACTGTCAGTGTTGCGCTGTCGTCTGGGAAAAATTCTGCACTGTATTTGAATTTAAATCTGCCACCGCTATTGGCTAAGAGGTATGCTATGATGTCATCTGGTATATTATGATGTCATAATGCCATTGTGAGCCTGTGTGTGTGTATTTGTTAGCGGCTCCGCCCTCTCGGTCTGCCAAGCAACAGCATTTGTTGCATTTTTCAAACATGAAGTGGGAGTGAAGTAAGTTTCTTGTAGGGGGTGACTTGCTCTTTAAACAAGTAGTTACTGCCATCCTTTTAAACTAAGATCATCTAATGCTGTCTTATGCTGAGGACGGATGGAGATAAAGCTGATTTAGTCCAGGCTTGAATATGTTTTCATTTTTTAAGGTCAATAGGCTGTGATGGCCATCATAAATGGATCGATTCAAAAAGATTTACTGTGATTTTTATTAAAATGCATCCAATTTTGTCTTTTTATCATGTCTGATCCTGGTCCTTCATTACCAACATCCAGCATATTTTAGAGGTTTCTCTGCTTCAGATCACATGATTTTAATCAGCAGGTGATTAAGAGGCTGAGCCATGTCACCAAAACATTTAATCAAGTGTTTTGGAGCAGAGAAGCAAGTAAAACATGCTGGATGTTGGTCACCAAGGACCAGGATTGGACACCGCTGTCCAAACAGAAAGACACATTGGTAGACAGCGGATAAAGCTACGTTTCAGACTGAATTATTGTGGAATGTGTACTGCTTTGGGTTTGTGATAATGTTGCTTAACTACTACGGCACAGATTTCTGACTCAATGGGTGTTTCGCAGTGTCAAGGCGCCTTGCCTTGCGGGGCGATGTCTTGCGAGTTCAGGCGCCTCACAAGACATTGGAGACAAACGGAGAACACACGCCTCAGTAGAACATGAACATTGGAACCAATGGGAACATGTCTTGTCAGCTCCTGATGACGTATCACCTAGGCAACTGGGGCGGGGCCAAGACATCAAGGCAAGGTTCCTTAGCATTGAGAAACACCCAATATCTGTCAAACTGACTAAATTTTAATATTTTTGTCAATTAGCCTTTGCAGCCATCTTGAATTCTTGATTCTGACATTTAATGGTCAAGTTTGATGATGGGAATGACTCCTAACTACCACACCACACTTTTATCCTTTTGTGTTTCGTGTAATGAAAACGTTCAGAAGGTTTAATCAAGATCTATTCAGCGATTTATGAGAAGTTTTGCTAAAAATCAAACAGGGCCGCGTAAAACAGCAAATGTGAAGCACTTAGATATGTGATGAGGGCTTCTGGACAAGTTTTTTTCACACTATCTTTGAAACAGACCGAGCTTATGATGATTTTGCTCATTCCATTAGCTGTGGCAGCCATCTTGAATTGAGCTGAAGGTCATCAGATTTAGATTCATTGGACAAAAACATTTCAGGAGTTGGGTGGACACGTCACCAATAGTTACCAGCAACAAAGATTTTGCCTAATTTGTTACGACTCGGTGTGTGTTGTGAATGACTTTCACCAATTTTCAGCTCTGTAACACCAGCTGTGTTCAATCCACTGTGGTGGCCATCTTGGATTTGGTTATTGCCAAAAGCGACCCAGTTGAAGATGGAATTCCAAGTTTTTATTTTATTTTTTTTTTTTTTGAGAATTTCGTTCAAATCAGTCCAGTGGCTCAATGAGGAGCCATGAGATAATTTTCTTAAAATCAAATAAACACAAAAATTGCCAAATCAAACATAAAGTGTTTGATTCAAAATATTTTCATATGCAAATTAACATTTTTAATAACATAAATACTAAGGGTTTTCTTTTATCTTAACAAGAGCATGCTCCAATCCAAACAGTTCATTTTTTGCTCAAAAACAATTATACATAAATAATTACTTTAAAGAACATAGTATTACACACGCCTCATTTAGTACATGAATCCTTACTTTTGCTGAATAAAATCCTAAATGTGTCGTTTGTGTTTACTTGGTGTACTGAAGGTTTCGTTGAGAGCGAGCTGCCACGTGTGATGGACATGTTGTCGCGTTACAGCTCTTCAGGGTTTGGCGGCTGCAGGAAGGAAACTGAGTGTTTGCAGGATTAAACTGTGTTGTATAACTCATCTCCACCAAGCCTGTTCTCTCCACCCTTTCATGCTCTCATTCACTTCATCTTTTGTTTTCCTCTTTCACATATTCTGACGTTAATCTTGAAGAAAGACAAAACGATGAATATTTCAGGCCCTCCACTCATTCAGCTTGACATCATGGCTGTGATAGTCCTCAGCCTCATTCTTTTTGCCTGCTTTCTGGCTCATTATTTCCCTCCCTCTGCTCTCGGAGCGATTCTTGGACTGAAGCAGGGAGACAGGCCTCGAAAACTCTCCAGCATTTGTTAAGAGCCTGAGGCTGCCCCCCCGGCAAAGGTCACAGGAGTTAGCCACGGGCGAAGATGGAAGTTCCCAAAACTAACAATTAGCAGCTATTTCTCCATTTAACTTTCTATTTTGTGGCATGATGTTGTTTTAAAGGGCAACGACTTAGTTGTACTTGAAGCAGAACTATAAATAGATCAGTTAACGCATCAGTTGTCCGTTGGCACCCAGCATGTGTCATCCTCACCCCCTCATCCTTTACTTTCATCCATTTATTCACATCATCATCTTCTTGGTGTGGTTGCCAAGGGTAACATGGCCCAAAACACTGCAGCTTTCTGATGACATCCTGGCTCCTATAAAGTGTCATTTTTTTTCTTCAGGCAGCAGATACACCTGTACCTGCCCCCGGAGAGCAGAGCTCGTAAACAAGCAAGAACTGGAAATAGTTTTGTTGTTTATGCTGGAAGATTTATGGCTGACTCCATGGAGCAGGAGGAGGAACAAACCGGAGACACGTCCTGAAAGTTTTGTTTATGCATTTTTAAGAAACTTCATTTAACATTAAATTATTATTATTATTATTATTGTTATTATTATTATTATTATTATTATTATTATTATTATTATTATTATAATCATCATCATCACTATTATTATTATTATTATTATAATCATCATCATCACTATTATTATTATTATTATTAGTATTGTTATTTGTTTTATTATTATTATTATCATCACTATTATTATTATTATTATTATTATTATTATTATCATCACTATTATTATCATTATTAGTATTATTATTATTATTATTATTATTATTATTATTATTATTATAATCATCATCATCACTATTATTATTATTATTAGTATTGTTATTTGTTTTATTATTATTATAATCACTATTATTATTATTGTTATTATTATTATTATTATTATTATTATTATCACTATTATTATTATTATTAGTAGTAGTAGTAGTATTATTGTTATTATTATTATTATTATCATCATCACTATTATTATTATTATTGTTATTATTATTATTATTATTATTATTATTATTATTATTCATCCAGCCACTGACCCTGATTACACCTGCCAGCCTGTGATTCTCCATAACCCACAGATGGCCGGTCCGCCCCGGCGGATTCCTTTAAATGTTTTATGGACACCTCCCACTGGTACGAGACCCCGGAGCAAATGTAGAACTCTCTCAAAGATTTGGCAGGAAAAGCTTCCATGAATCTGTCTTCACTGAAGCCTCACAGTCTCTTC